GACCATCCGGTTGCCTATAACCACCGGAGAAAAACCCCGACAGGCTACTACAATGGCCAACTTTGTGGTAATAAAAAGAGGCTCCAGTACAATGCCGTGATTAGAAGACTGACCCTTCAGGCGCTAAGGGCCATAACTTCCGTCTACCACCAAAAGTTCAAGTTCCCTACCCCAAATGGTGTAGGCAAGATAAAGAGCAAGACCATCCGGTTGCCTATAACCACCGGAGAAAAACCCCGACAGGCTACTACAATGGCCAACTTTGTGGTAATAAAAAGAGGCTCCAGTACAATGCCGTGATTAGAAGACTGACCCTTCAGGCGCTAAGGGCCATAACTTCCGTCTACCACCAAAAGTTCAAGTTCCCTACCCCAAATGGTGTAGGCAAGATAAAGAGCAACCAGTACGAAGCTAGGGTTGCATACTCTGATGCCCTGCGCGGATATGACCAGCCGGGGAGACAGGAGGCTAGGATGGTTCATCAGAACCCTGTCGAGGACATAGACCCCAGGGTTCAAGAAGAGGTCACATGGTCTCAACCTATCGAGCAATTGGTGGAAATCTGAGTTGATGAAGACGAGTCCACCAAAGTGTTGAAAATAGGCTCAGATTTGGCCCCCTCACTTAAAGTTGAGATCGAGAACTTCCTCAGGAAAAACTTGGATGTCTTCGCCTGGAATCACGCCGACATGGAAGGAATCGACGTCAACGTTATATGTCACTCCCTGAATGTTGACCCCTCATATCCTCCTAAGCGCCAGAAGCGTCGACTGATGAACCCCGAGAGGTATGAAGCGCTAAAAGAAGAGGTCGACAAACTAATCAACAATGGGTTCATCAGGGAGGCCCATTACCCACGTTGGGTCTCGAACCCAGGTATGGTAGTTAAGCCCAACGGGGACTGGAGAACATGTGTCGACTTCAGCGATCTCAACAAAGCCTGCCCAAAGGATGACTTTCCACTCCCACAGATAGACCAAATGGTCGACGCCACGGCGGGACATGAGATGCTGAGTTTTATGGACGCCTACTCCAGATACAACCAGATCCCCATGCATCCAGCCGTCAAGGAGCACACGTCCTTCATAACCAATAGGGGCCTCTACTGCTACAAGGTGATGCCATTCGGCCTGAAAAATGCAGGGGTTACCTACCAACGGCTTGTGAATAAAATGTTTGCTCAACAGCTCGGCAAAACCATGGAGGTATACGTCAACAACATGCTTGTTAAAAGCGCCAGGGCCAGCCAGCACGTCGACCATCTGGGTGAGATGTTTGGTGTATTGAGAAAATACCACATGAAACTAAATCCCCAGAAATGTGCATTTGGAGTTGGGTTGGGGAAATTTCTCGGCTTTATGGTCAGCAACCGAGGGATAGAAGCTAACCCGGAGAAAATTAAAGCCCTGCAGGACATGCGATCCCCAACCAAGCCAAAGGAGGTGCAAAGGTTGACAGGATGTGTCGCCGCCCTAAACAGGTTTATATCAAAGGCAACAGACAAATGCATCCCCTTTTCGACGCTTTGAAAGGAGGCAAGCGTTTTGAGTGGACACCGCAGTGTGAAGAGGCCTTCCGGGGATTGAAGGAACATTTGGACAGACCTCCAATTCTGTCAAAACCAAACCTCGACGAAGAGCTTAGCCTATATCTCTCCGTGTCCCAACACGCCGTAAGTTCCGTACTGATAAGGGAGAAAGAAAGGGTGCAATTGCCAATCTACTATGTGAGTAAGAGCCTCGTCGACGCCGAATCAAGATACAGCGAAATGGAGCGCTTAGCCCTCGCCCTGATGGTAGCTTCGAGAAAGCTTCGGCACTATTTCCAATCTCACACCATACGGGTTCTTACAAACCACCCATTGAGACAGGCTCTGCAAAAGCCCGAAACTTCCGGTCGACTCCTCAAATGGTCGGTAGAACTGAGCCAGTTCGACATAAAATATGTGCCAAGAACTACGATCAAGGGCCAAGCGTTGGCTGATTTTCTAGCCGAATTCTCCCATAGACCAGCTTCCACCACGCCTGAAGAAGTCGAGACTACATGATGGAAGCTCTACGTGGATGGAGCGTCGAGCGAAAGCGGGTCAGGAGCTGGCGTCTTGTTAATCGGCCCAGAAAGCCACAAGATTACCTCGACGGTTCGATTTAAATTCAAGGCGTCGAACAATGAGGCGGAATACGAAGCGCTAATCGCAGGACTGCGATTGGCCAGCCACCTGAAAATGGAAAGGCTCAGCGTCTTCAGCGATTCTCAACTGGTCGTCGGGCAAGTAAAAGAAGAATACCAAGCACGCGGCGAAAAGATGGGAGCGTACTTGAGGAAGGTAAAGGAAGAACTTGCTAAGTTCAAGAACTACGAGATACTTCAGATACCACGAACTGAAAATACAAACGCCGACGCTCTGAAAAAGCTAGCATCTTCAAGAGATTCTGACGCACTGGGGGTCGTCCCTATCAAAGAATTGGAGCGGCCGACTATTGAAGAAAAAGCTAAAGCATTAATCGTCCAAACAGGCAAAAATTGGATGACGCCCCTCATCCAATACCTAATGGAAGCACAACTACCAAACAATAAAGACGAAGCCAGACGAATCATGTATAGAGCTGCTAGGTACTTGTTGTACGACGGCTTGCTCTACCGACGAGGCTACTCAACACCTCTACAGCGGTGCCTGGATAACGCTGAGGCCCAGAAGGTCCTCCAAGAAATCCATGAAGGGGTCTGCGGTAACCACACTGGGGGCAGTCTTTGGCTCTAAAGGTATTAGGGCAAGGATACTACGCTAAAAAAAGACGCTTTTCAATACACCCGACGTTGTGATAAATGCCAAAGGTATGCCACAATTCCTAGAGCACCCCTAGAAAATTTAACTTCCATTCTCAGTCCATGGCCCTTCGCCAAATGGGGGGTTGACCTGATCGGGCCATTACATCTTGC